CGGCCGCCATGCTGCTCATGCAGGCCGTGGCGGAAGCAGTGGATCTCACCACGGAGCGGCACCGGCTGTGCCTGTGGGCGGCCATGCGGCCGCACGTGCGCATGCCGCGCTTCTTCCGTGCGCTGCACCGCTCGCTGCGCCCCATCCTGCCGCAGCGCGCCCTCAACTGGGTCACGGTGGACCGCCTCGAGCTCGCCGCCTCCATGAGCGCTGCTTACATCCGCGCCCTGCGGCAGACACGGCAGCAGCTAAGAGAGTTCCTCAGTACGTGCTGGGTGCTGGGTTGAGTGGTTGAGTGGTTGAGAGTTGCTCATGCAAAACCCCTGCCAAGAGATGGGTGCACAGCACGCCCTGCTCAGAGCGTACGGCTCCTGTATGCCACCCATGCCCACCACCTCTGTCCCGTCCCTCCCCCTCCTGTGTGCAGAGGACAGTCCGATACTGGAGGCAGTGATCCTGGAGAGCGAGGAGGAGGAGACGGAGGCCAGGAAGTTCCTTGAAGACGTGCGCCTCAACGTGCCCGAGGTGAGACGTGCGCCTCAACGTGCCCGAGGTGAGACGTGCGCCTCAACGTGCCCGAGGTGAGACGTCATGCAGGCTGTGCCACGTGCTCGCTGTGCCGTACCTTGTCAAGTTGTGATGTGCTGTGCGCCCACATACCCCCTCCTACCTGCGCCACTCACCTGAGCTCGCGACGTGCTGTGCGTGGTGGCAGGTGCTGACAATCATCAAGACGAAGCAGGTGACACAGGCGATACTGGCGGAGCTGTACGGGTATGTGGAGAATCTCGACCACTCAGGGCTGCTGGACCAGAAGGAGGTCACCCTGCTGCACAACGCCATCACGGTCAGCCCTCTCCTCGCCCTCGCACCCCCCATGTGCCCTCGCACACAGTGCCATGCCTTACCATGCCATGTCATGCCACAGCATGTATGTAGCTCCCACATTCACCTGCCCCACCCTGCTCTCCAGTGCTGCGGGCCCCTCTTTCCCCCATCTCCCCCCCCTCCCCTCACCACGCCCACGGTGCGAGCAGGCGGACATGAAGAAGCTGCAGCGCAGCCCGCCGTTTGTGGCCATGCTGCCGGCGGGGGAGGTGCTGGCGAGGCAGCCGCTCATCGGAGCGCTACCGGCGGACATCCGCCTCGCGCTGCTGCAGCCGCTCAAAGAGGCCACTAAGCTTTCCGGTGCCTCCCTCTTCCAAGAAGGGCAGGCAGCGCAAGGCGTGTGGCTCATCGCCTCTGGCACTGCCAAGGTCAGTCAGCACGGTCACATTTGCTTCCATGCGATTTTCCGATGAACAGTACCAGACCGATGCGTAGCCATTGGACATATCACTCGCACCTAGCTGATGCTTCGGGTCAAGCCAAGCGCACAAGAATATTAACGATTCAGTATTCCGATGTTATGCTGCACCTGTGGCTTGTGTCCAGCCCAAATCTGTGCACCGACACATGGCTGAGTGCCTTTCCACACCAGTGGTAGCACCCTTCCTCACTGCGAGCCTCCCTCTGCCCTTGCTTACCTGTGCTATCGCGCACATGCGCTCTGCAGTGGACGTCCAAGGCGGCGGAGGCGGAGGCAGAGGCGCACGGGCAGCACCTGATCCCGCCGCTGTTTGCACACGGCAGCTCCGTGGGGCTGTATGAGACGCTGCGCGGGTGCGCGCACCAGTACTCGGTGACGGCAGACAGCGTGCTGCACTGCTTCTTCATTGATAGACAGCGCATCATGGCCGCCAAGAGCAGCAGCGCTGCCATTGAAGACTTCCTCTGGAAGGTGGGCTGTTAGGGTGCCCGGGGAAAGGGGGGTTTGAGGGCTGTGCAGGTGGGTGGGGACGAGGGGTTTTAGAAAGTGTGGAGACAGGGAGGAAAGAGGGAGAGGGTGTTGGGGAGATGTGGGAGGTGGTTGAGTAGACGTGAGGCAGGACTGGACGACTGTGGCTCCTTGTCAGCACCTCCACGTGTCACGCCAGTAAGACTGCTCCACACTTCCCTGCCGGCTCACATGCCCTGCCCTGTCAACTCCCACTGCCCTGTCAAACCCCACCATGCACTCTGATTGAGCAGGAGAGCTGTCTGGAGGTGGCACGGGTGGTGCGCCCCATGGAGTTCGGCATGCTATCCATGCACGACCTGCGTGTGCTCTTCTCCCAGTCCGCGCGCCTCCTCACCCTCGCCCCGCACTCCCCCGTGCACCTTGCGCCCTCCGAGGTCGCGCTGCTGCTGCTGGGCGCCGTTCGACTGCCAGGGGACGGCAGCGAGGGCCAGGAGGGGGATGAGGGCAACAAGGGGGAGGAGGGCGAGGAGCAGGGCGAGGAGGAGGAGGGGGGCGGCGGGGCGAGCAGCCTTCAAGGTGCAGCTGTAGCCGCAGGCAGTCCGCAAATTGCTCTGTCCTCTTCTCCGCCACTTGGCGGGTCACTCTCCCCGCCCGCACCCACGGCGCCGGGGGGACTGGCAGCGGAGAGTGCAGCGCCCCCCAGCAGCGGCGAGGAGGGCAGCATCAACGGCAGCACGAGCGCCAGCATCTTTGACGACCGCACATCCGCATCCGTGGCCCTCTCTGCCACTGCCTCTGATGTGCCGGATGGCAGGGGCGACACAGCGTTGGGGGGTAAGGACGCGGAGGGGCAGGCGGTGCGCAAGGTGCGGAGCGAGGGCGTGGAGCAGGGCGGGGCAGGGGGGAGCAGCAGCAGGGGCAGCAGCGGGGGGTTTCTGCGGGCGCGCAGTGAGGTGCTGCGCAGCGGGCTGAGAAGCCTGTCCAAGGGCCGGCAGCGCCTGGTGCGCGCCATTAGCTCCAAGGACAGGGACGGGGACAAGGCGGGCACGTGGCAGAGCGGCAGAGAGGGCACAGGCAGCCGTGAGGAGATGGAGCTGGGGGTGATCGTGGAGGACGGGCGGATTGTTAGCATCCACGCCCCTGCTTACCTCACTCCCCAGCCGAGCCGGGGGGGAGCCGGGGAGGCGTCGTATGTGACAGTGACGACGTGCAAGCTGATGGTGGTTGACATGCCTCACACTCAGCACTCCCTCCAAGGCACCCCCACTCGGTATGCTGCCCCTTCCCATCCCTCTCCACTCCTCCCCCCCCTTTTGTTCTTGTTGTTAATCACTTGTGCATCGTTTGAACCGCCAACCAACGACCATGCGTGCATGCCCGCTTCCCCTCTTTCCCCCCTCTGTCTCCCCCCACCAGCGCCTTCCACGGCCACCGCAGTGCGCCCGCACACGATGCAGCAACTCTGCTGCGGTGGCAGATGGAGGGGGGTGCGGATGGCGACAAGGATGATGACGGGTTCATCACGGCTCGCCTCAGGGGGCGGGCGGGCGCTGATGCTCGTGCTCATGGCGCTGGGGGAGCTGCAGGGGGGCACCCGGGGAGCAGGCTGGGCGGGGTGCTGGGCAGCATGATGGGGGTTGGAGGGGCTGTGGCGGCTGGCGAGGTTGGTGACGTGGAGGATAGTGAAATGACGATGCCACGTGGCAGTGAGCTGGCTGCCATGCTGGCGGACCGTGTGGCAGTGGATCGGCAGCTGATGGAGCGAGCCATGCAGCTCAGTGTGTTCGGCAACAAGGTCAGTCACCTCCTTGCCATCCTTCCTTCCTTGCCCACATTCTTTAGGCTTTCTCTCAACTGCTACATTCCCTCCCTCTACCACTCGTATCTATGGATGAGCAACCTTCTTCCTCCCTTCCTCATTGTCGCTTGCTTGACTGACCATCGCCCCTCTCCATTGCTCATCACCGCTCTCCCCATTCCCCATTACCCGTCCTGCCATCGCCCACCGGCCCCACTGCAGATGCAGACGAGGCCGAGGCGGCCGTCAGAGGCCCATGCAGGACACCCTGCAGGCACCGCTGCTGCTGCCACCGCCCGCACACCCGTGCGCAGCAGCAGCACAGAGGCAGCAACACCATCAGCAGCAGCAGCAGCAGCAAGTACCACCCCACCCTCATCATCATCACGGCAACCGCAGGAGTCATCGCTCGCAGCGCTCGTGGCCTCACTCTCTGCTGCTGCCGCCGCTGCCCCCCCCAACCCCTCCGCCCCTCCATCCCGCCCCATCCCCGCCTCTGCCCCCTCCTCTGCCTCCGCCATCCCCCTCGATGCCTCCCCCCTCCTGCCCCAAAACCACAGCGCCTCTGCCATTCCCCTTCAGGGAGGGCAACCAGAGGAGGCGCACCCACTTGTGGAGCCGGGGAGTGGGGTGGATGGAGGGAGAAGCGAGTGAGGGCGGGCAGCAGGGAGGGGTAACAACTGGGGCCCTCTTGTGGGCAGTTATTTAGTGGTTGGACCTGTGGTGCTGGTAGACCCCACACTGCCAAACCGAAGAGAATGCATTACACTAATCAGGGAGAGCCAAGTGCATGTGGCTATTCACATGTGCTGAAAAAGCTGCTCTCTGGGCACTGTGGCCACGATCACCACGCCATCTCCTGGAGCAACAATAAGGAAAAACTAGATTTATGTTATGTGTTTGATTTAATTTCTGATTGTGTTTCTGCTGCACGTGTTCCACTCCTGCAATAGTAATGTCAGCACAAATGTACAAACCTATGTTGCTGCTACTGGTGGTGACTATATCTGTGACAAGCTGCCTGAAAAATGCCAACTGCTGGTCTATAAGGCATGAGAAGCAGAGGGATCCACACAGCCTCCTCCCAAGCAACACTGGATGGCCGTCAAGCAGCTGTCCTCCTCTAGGTGCTCTTGGGTACCTACTCAGCACTGAGTGGCAACGCGTGGTGTGGCGTAAGCAATGGCATTCTTAATACTGAGTGCCATCCAAAGTGCCATGCACCACCGTGTGAGCAATGAGCACGCCACCCATTGGGCTACGTGCCTTGAACACATCAACAACTTGAGGCAGCACGAGCAAGAGGAGCAGCAGGCAGGCAACCGACAGAGATGCAGCAGGGGGCAAGCGTGCAGAGATTTATTAAAGCGAGAATAAACACGGGGTAATGCAGAGCTGCGGAGGAGCCAAGGGAGGAGGCGGTCAGTTGAAGTGGTCGGAGGGCGGCGAGGGGCCGTTGAGGGCGATGGCATGGCCGTCGGAGGCGGCGTCAAGGAACTGGCGGATGTAGCAGTGCGTCCACTCCCTTGGTGCCCCGAACTCGTCCACCAGATGCGCCACAAACGCATTCACCGCCTCCTCCTGGCCGCACCCACATATGGCATGCATGATGGCACACGCATGGCATACGGACATGGCACATGCATAGAGCAAGGAAGAATCAGTGGATTAGGAGTGAGTTGAGCATGCTGGGATGGTGGAGGTGGGGTGTGAAGCACACAGGTCGTCGCACTTGCAGTACGGACGAGTGCATGTGCGAGTGAGCCTGTGACTGCCTGCTCCCGTGCTCCACAGACCAGTAGGCACTGCTGTACAAAGCATGGACTCACCTGCTGCGAGTAGGGCTTGGAGATGTCAACTCACCTGCTGCGAGTAGGGCTTGGAGATGTCAACTCACCTGCTGCGAGTAGGGCTTGGAGATGTCAACTCACCTGCTGCGAGTAGGGCTTGGAGATGTCAACTCACCTGCTGCGAGTAGGGCTTGGAGATGTCAACTCACCTGCTGCGAGTAGGGCTTGGAGATGTCAACGAACTGGGCCCTGACGGCGCGCACGCGGCTGCGGATGAACGCCTCCATCTCGCTGGTGAGCCCGCTGCCCGCCCCCGTGGCCTCCGCCAGCCCCGCCACCACCTGCTTCAGCTCCTGCACCTCCTTCACCGCCGCGTTGCGCTCCTCTATCAGCTGCGCCGCCAGCATCTCCAACACGCGCTTGTCCTCCTCCCTCTGCGCCTCAAACGCCGACCGCAGCTCCGATGCCTGATGCACTCACCGCCCCCCCACACACACACAGCATACCGCGCCCACGCACACATAGGGCAGGCGGTGTGTGAAAACGATGGGGACAGCAGGGCGCAGGGAGCGAGGAGATGGCAAGAGGTGAAGGGCAACGCAGGGTGATGGCGGAGGGTGGGGAGGGGAGGGGGGCAGAGCACGCACCTGTTTGATGGCGGAGTCGCGCTCGTCAGCCAGCTGCAGGGCAACGGTCTCGAGCGCCAGGTTCTGCTCCTGCAGGCGCTGCACCTCGGACGCCAGCATGGCCTCTATCGCCCTCATGCGCTCCGTCATGGCGTTCACCGCTGTCTTCAGTGCCGTCACCTGCTCCGTGCATGGCGCATGCACGCACCCATGCATGCATGAGCACCATCCACACCATGTCAATGGAGGACCACCATGCCACGCCATGCCGACGCGTGGGTATTTGTTATACAGAAGCTCTGGGAAATGCATGTGGCATGGATGCCCATGGCATGCGTGGGCATGTCTCCCCTGCATGCCCCACACGCACCTCAGCAATAGCGGAGTCCCGCTCATCCGCCAGCTGCAGCGCCACGGCCTCGAGAGCCTCCTTCTCCGCCACCACGCGCGCCATCTCCTGCCCCGCGCGCCTCATCTCCCCCGCCGCCGCCACCGCCACGTCCCTCTCCGCCTCCAGCGCCCTCAGCCGCCCCTGCACGCCCTCGCCCATGCCCTGCGAAGCCCCACGCGCAGCCCCAGAGGAGAGGGAGGGTGCACGGGTGGAAGGGGAGAAGGGGAAAAAGCAGGGTTGAGAGGGGCAGTGGGGACAGTGGGGAAAGCGGCTGGGGAAGAGAACAGCAGAGAATTGAGGAGGGGATAGAGCAGAGGGAAATTCGTTTCCTAGTGGGGAGGTACCTTGCGGTTCACTGCACCTGCTCCCCCTGCATGCATGCAGCAAGCGACAGCAGCACAGCAGCATGGGACTCTGACCTCGGGAATGCGGGAGGCAGGGGCCTCTGGTTCGGCATCGGCGTCGCTGGTGGTGTTGGGGAAGAGCGTCTGGATGGCCGTGAGGGGCGTGGGCGCCACTGCGATCTTCCTCTTGGTGAAATACTGCCTGGTGTGGGGCCGCGGGGAGGGATGGCGGCAGGGAAGAGAGAGGGGACGGGCACGGAGATGCAAGAAAGATTCGTGAAGTGAAGGGTTTGTGACAGTGATTGTGAGAGTGGAACACGTGTGTGTGTGCAAAGTAGGTAAGTCAAGTGAGCGAGAGCGAGCTAGTCCCCAGCAGCAGCGGGTCTGGCCCACCGCTATGCTGCTTCTACCAGCCCAGGATGCCTGACGCCTGCACCCACCCCTCCAGTCCACCCCCTGCCAATCGGCTGAAGCATCCAAGCAGCTGCCCGCGCCACTCATGGCTGCCTCGCTGCACCCCCTCTCATTCCATGGCGGGTCCGTGAGACAGAGAGGGGAAAGGGACAGGGAGGGGAAGGGGAACGGAAAGGGGAAGCGGAAGGGGAAGGGGAGGGGGAAGGGGAAGGGGAGGGGCACCTGGCGACGAGGGCGCAGTAGACGACACCGATGGTCTGCATGAACTCGGGCGCCAGTGGCACCGAGTCCAGCGACCCCAGTAGCGACGTCGCAAACACCACCCCCAGCACCGCCAGCCCTGCCGCCCGCTCGCCACGCACGGAGGGCATAGGGAGTGGCGGGAGAGGCGGAGTGGAGGAGGGGGGTGGGGAGGCCGGGGGGAGGAGGAAGGGGAATGTAGGGTGGGATGAGTGCAGGAGGGCGGTGGTGGGCGTTGAGAAGAAATGGAATGTGCGGGTGAGATTGAGGGCAGGCAAGAGCGGGAAGTGCAATGCACCCTCAGGTGGTTTATTGGCGAGCCCTCCTGGCACTGCTGCGAGGACCCCACCTGAGCACATGCAGCAGGCGCACCTGAGGCGGCGGCGGCGGCGCCGACGGTCTCGACGGGCGCGTCCTCCACTGCGCGCACGGCGCCCCGCACCACCTCCCCCACTGACGCGCGCTCCCGCCGCCTGCCCGCGCCACCACGGCCCCGCGGACGAGGGGAGTCGGCAGCGCTGGTGTCGCGCGGAGGGGGCGGTTGAGGAGGTTGCTCCGACTCGCGCTGCGGTTGACACAGAGTGGGGCGGAAGACGGTGGGGGGAGTGGGGCGGCAGAGGGGGGAAGGAGGGAGGCACGGGAGAGGGCAGGGGGGGGAGGGCAGGCGGTTGAGCAGAGGAGCTGTGGTTCTCAGGAACGGCGGTGCGATTGACTGCGACCGACGAGGCACGGCGGCACGCACGCCTCTGGGCGCCGGCCCGCGCGGCATTAGGGTTGCGCGCCGTGGGACACGCGATCGCTCCGCTGCACATTGGCAGAAGCGAGATGGTCAAGGAGCACGCCACGACAGTACGCCATCGCGTCAGCCTAATGTGATCGGCAATGCGGCACAGACGCGTCAATCGCAGATGGGCGAACGAGGCGGAAAAGGCATAATTCCGCGGCTGCAGCGGGCGCGGAGGCAGGGCGCAGGGCGCAGGACGCACCTTGAGGCTGAGCACTTCACTCTCCTTGGGCGGCAGACTCGACTCGTCCTGCTCTGCGACCTTCTGGTCGCCAGGCGACGATGACGACGACGCGGCGACGCATATCCGCAGTCTCAGGCGGTGTTGGCGGAGGAGGGAGGGACGGGGAGCGGGAATGCGAGTGTTAGAGGCTGTGGGGGAGGGGGAAGGAGAGGCGAGGAACAGCGGTCTGCGCGCTAAGAGCGCCATGTGGGGGGAACTACTGGGGTGGAACACGCAGTGCTGAGAACGCAGAGCCCCGCGAAAGACGCGCAACGGTCAGCCTCGCGCCGCGCTGCGAGGGATGGGCGGCAGAAGCATGGAGGAGCATGCGGCGCGCAGTGATGCGCGAGAGTCGTGGCCCGTGGCTGTCGAGGTGGCAGGGCGAGCGAGGAAAGCGGGTTGGGGAATGCGGATGGAGGGAGAGGGCGGGGAGGAGAGATCCACCAATCCACGCAAACAGTGCCCAGCTGCAACCACAAAAGCACACACCGAAACTCTCGAGGTTTTGTTGCAAGTTGCTTTCGCCACCAAAAATTACATGTCGCGAGCCTGATTCGCCAGTCCACTTGGAATGCTCCTCATCCTCACTTTTTGCTGCCTCCAATCCTGTGGAGATCTCATCGGTACTGCGTGCTTCGTTATGACGTTCACCATTTATTGACGTACACGGATGAATTGATACACATCCGTCGAATTTCGTCCCGACAAGGCAAGTCACAAAAGGCAGGCACCACCTGAAGCCCAGCACATGCTTGCTGTCGTTGCTCCGCTCGCAGTCGTATCAGCACGGCTCAACCTCTCCGCCACACCCCGTCCAGCCAATCTCCTCCCGCGCCTCAGCTCTCCGCAAGCTCGAGCGCGTGGGGAGCGGTGTAGGTCGCGGTTGTTTAGGGTGCGGTGGGGGCGCGGAGGGGGGAGCGCGGCGGCATGGCGGAGCCGGACGTGGGTCCGCTGGTGGCGAGTTTCATCGACTTCACCGGCAGCGACGACGCCGTCGCGCTGCAGATGCTCCAGGTGGGCGGGGCCCCGCGCGCCACGTGCCGCGCCACGTGCCGCCTCACGCGCCATGCGCCTGGCACTGTGCGTGTGCTCGTGTGTCTTAGTTTCGTTGCCGCCGCCTCGCGCGTGCCTGAGCGCTCCTCGAGTCCCGTCGCTCTCCGTGTCCGCGCGCCATGCACCGCTCTCAACCGCTGCTTGCGTCTGTGCGACTGCATGCGTGCAGGCGACGAACTGGCAACTGGAGGAGGCGGTGCAGCTGTTCTTCGGGGGGGGCGCGGAGGCCGCAGGCGCGCAGCAGACTGACGCGCATGGGGGCAGCGCCGTGGGGCCTGCGGGAGGTGCAGGCAACGGGTAGGGGGTGGGTGCTGGGAGTGCAGTGGGTACTGCGTTTCTTCCCACCCGAGGTTTCCCAATCCTTGTCCCGCCTCCCCTCGCCCTCCTGTCTCACGTGTCCTCGTTCACCTCCTCTTTTCCGTTTCCTCCGCCCTTCTTTTCCCCGTTCCTGCATCCCCCCACCCCTGCATCCGCCAGGTCACGTGACGCCACTCCCCCGCCTCGCTCCTCCTCCCCGCCACCCCCGCCAGCAGCAGCAGTAGCAGCAGGAGGAGGGGGAATGGGCGGCAGCATGGGGGGCGGGGAGGAGGTGGTGCGGGCGCCGCTGCCAGTGAGGCGGGAGGCGCTATATGGCGATGCATACGCGCTCAACCGCCCCTCCGCTGGGTGCGTATGCTGCTCTCTCCCTGCTCGCATTTCCCATCACCTGCACTGACCTATGCGGTGCTGTCTGTGCAGTGGTGCACACTTCCATGCTGTGCCGTCACGCCTTGCTCCCTGTGCTGTCTCCACCCTCTCCTCCTCCCCCCCTCCCCCCTGCCCTCCCCACCTCGCCCCTCGCCGCTCGCCCTCCGCCCCCCAGCGCTGCCGGTAGAGCGCCTGGAGGGCCCAGTGCGCCGGTGGTGGTGGATGGGTTTCGGGACTTTGGCGGCGAGGCGGGCACGAGGGCGAGGGCGCGCGGAGAAGGGCAGCAGGGCGGCGAGGTGGGAGCGGCGCGACAGGCGTCGCTGGCATCGCTGTTTGAGCCGCCCTATGACATCCTCTTTGCTGGCTCCTTCGACCAGGTGGGGGGGAGATGGGTCCAGGGGCACTTGCACGTCCCCGTGCGTCCACTTGCCTGCCCCCGTGCGCCCACACGTCCCACAGCACCGTGTTAAACGCTGTGCCCACTCCTGTTGCACCTACCCTTTGGTGTGCATGGGTGCATGCGTGGATGCCTGCATGCATGTGTGCATGGGTGCATGGGTGCATGCGAGTGTGCAGGCGAAGCAGCGGGCGGGGGCGGAGGGGAAGTGGCTGTTGGTGAACGTGCAGTCGACGGGGGAGTTCGCGTCGCACATGCTGAACCGGGACGTATGGGCCGTGCCAGCTGTCAAGGAGACCATCTCCACCTACTTCCTCCTCTGGCAGGTGCTCCCTCTCCCCCTCTCCCCCTCTCCCTCCTCCACTCGCTCCCCCTCCCCCTCTTCCTCCTGCACCTCCTCCCGCCCTCCTCCCGCGCCTCCTTGTGTCGTGTTGCTTCTGCCACGTGGTTCTGCCAGGTAACATTGTGTGAGGGGCAGTTCATTCGGGCGTGCACCCACCACAGCTCCCCTGTCATGCCACTCACATGCACTGCCTGCCTCACCTAGCCCTTCCCACCACACCACCCATGCCGTGCCTCCGCTGTGCTTACCCCCATGCTCTGCCCTCTCTCTGCGTCGCATGCGTGTGTGGGTGGGGTGGCAGGTGGACGCGGCGGCAGCGGAGGGGGCGAAGGTGTGCGGGTACTACCAGGTGGAGGGGCTGCCGGTGGTGATGGTGCTGCACCCCTCCACGGGCCAGCGCAAGCGCTGCTGGCAGGGGGTGCTCTCTGCTGACCAGCTGCTTGAGGTGGGGGAGGGGGAGGGGAGGGTGGGGGACGAACGGGGTTTGGGGTGGGGGGAGAAGAGGTGAGGGTGGTGGCTTTGCATTGCCTGGCCACGAGTCTGCTTCTCTGCTCTTCATATCCTCCCTCAGATTCCTCCTCACATGTCTTGCGGAACCCTTCTCTGCACTTTGCCTGCCTGTACGTCTGCCTGTGTTTGTGCCTGTGTGCGTGTCTTTCTGCCTGCATGCCTGCCTGCGTGCCTGCCTGCGTGCCTGCCTGAGTGCGTGCGTGCATGTGTGTGTGCGTGTGCGTGCGCACGGCTGGCAGGACCTGATGCCATTCATTGACCGTGGCCCCGTGGGGAGCGCACCTGGGGCGGGTGGTGAGGTGCGGCCGCCCAAGAAGCTGCGGGACGTGCCCACAGAGGGGGATGGGGGAGCGGGGGTGGGGGCAGTGGGGAGCGGCGAGGAGGACGAGGAGGAGCAGCTGCGCCTGGCACTGGCGGCTTCCCTGGAGGGGCACACAGAGGGGCACACAGAGGAAGAGGAGGGCGACACAGAGGGGAGGGAGCAGGGTGGGGCCATGGGGCCAGGCAGGGACGATGCCTCGCATGCGGCAGAGGGCCAGGAGCAGCAAGGGGCGTCGGCAGGAGGGGCAGCGGAGGAGGAGGTTGAGTTACCAGAGGAGCCAGCAGTGGGCACTCCTGCCAGCTGTCGCATTGCCATTCGCTGCCCGGATGGCACTCGGCTGCAGCGTCGGTTCCTCTCCTCGCACTCTCTCCTGGTGCTGCCCCCATCCTTCAAAGCAACCTGCTTGCCACCCATCCCACGCCTGTGCACTGTCCCACATCACCTTCCTGCCATGCTCGTCCCTTGCTCTCCCACTCACTCCACTTTCCTCTCTCCCCTCCCCCTCTCCACTCTCCTCTCGCCCCACTCCCCACTCCCCCAGCTGCTGAGGGCATGGTGTAGGCAGCAGGTGCCAGAGGCGGCAGCGGGGAGGCCCTTCCGTCTGTCACAGGCGCTACCCGGCTCCTCACCGCTCGACCTCTCCTCGCCCACCACCATCGCCGATGCCGGCCTTGCCAACTCCCTGCTCGCCCTCGCCTGGGACTGACCGCACCACACCGCACCACAGCGCACCGCATCAGGGTCTCCAAGCTTGTTGCGCCATGACTCATGAGGCTGTGCGTGCAATGCAGGGCCTGTTGGTTGCGCCGGCAAATTCTTTGGGCACTTCCCTTGCCTCGGCCATGCCGGCGCTTGTAGTGAAAGAGAAGCACCACTTAGAGCTTGGCACCCTGTGCTTGTGTGGTTCCTGATAAAGCAGTGATTCTTTGTGCAGTTTTGTTTTGTACCTGAAAGGCTTGAATGAATAGCAGATCCCTGGTTGCCCAGTGCCCACCCCACTAATCAAAGTAACCTTTGATTGATTGTCAATAAAGCGTACGGATACATGCAGACATCGTTTCCAAGCGGGGATATCTGAATACAGCTTCAATTTATTGCCCCGCAATCGAAGCGCACACAGGGCAGTGAGGCAGACGGACCTGATCACAGCTTCCCTCTGTGCCTGCCGCACTGCCATTGCTGCCGCGCCCGTGTGTGTGTGTGCATCTCCACCCTTGCCGCCTCGCACCTCGCGCGCCCGCATGTTACCACTATGCCCGCCGCGCTCCCACTCGCCCTCCCACCACCCCAGCGCGCCCCTGTCCCCGCTCCCTCACATGCCGCGCTGCCGCCCCGCGCCTCCCATGCGGCGCCTCTTCTCCGCCAGCCCACGCTGCCTACTCGCGCCGCGCCCCTCTTGCGCCCTCCTTCCCCCTCCATTCCGCGCGTGTCCGCCACGTCGTCCTCCGCCGCCCACGCAAGCGCGCGGACTGGACCCGTAGAGTCCAGTCGCCAATTAAACCGTTTAGGGGCGCCCTCGCCGCGTCGCATGCCGAGCGGCGCGTCACTCTCCCCCTTCCCCGCCTCCTCCGCCGCCCGTCTCAGCAGCGCCAGCAGCGCGTGGCTTTCAGGCCCCGCCAGCGCGCGCCCACTTCCCGCGCGCACCTCAACTCCACCACTCGCGCCCTCCCCCTTCACCCGCCATTCCGCGCTCCTCCTTCCGCGCCCCGCCGTTGCGCCCAACGGCCGCGGCGGAGGGCGCAGGGGCAATGGCCGCGTGGTGTGCGGGAGGGTGAAGCGGGGCGGCGACAGCAGCGCAGACGGGCCGGCGGCTGGCGCGGGGGCTGGCAGTTCTGGCGGCGCTGGTGGCGCTGACAGTGGCGGAGGCGGTGGGGGGCCCACCGACGGCGGAAACAGTACTGGCGGGGGAGGTAATAATGGAGGCGGCAGCGGCGGTGGCGGAAGGTCAGGCAGGTCTAGTGGCAGCGGCGGAAGCAAGCCGTCCCCGCCACCAGAAAGCCTCAATGGAAGCGCCTCCCCTGCCCTTCCGCCCGCCCCGCCCCCTCCGCGCCAATCCTCCCCCAGCCCCTCTTCCCGCTCCCCAAGGGCCCCCGCGGCGTCTGACCCGTCCCGCCGTGGAGCCGCAGCATCCCCCGCCCCCCCATCCCCCGCGGCTGCAGCACCCCCCACCCCCACCCCCACCCCGCCCCTGGCGGCCACGAGGCGGCGGCGGCGGCGTGAGCGGGGCGTGGGGTGGCGGCGAGTGGCGTGGGCGCTGGCAGCGGCGCTGCTGTGGGGAGGGGGGGCGTACGCGCAGCAGAGGGCGCGGCAGTACGTGCAGGCGCGCGTGCTGCCTGTGGTGGAGGCGGCTGTGAGCGCACAGGCAGGCAGGCAGGTGGCGCTGGGGCGCGTGCAGCAGCTGCTGCCGTGGGCTGTGAGCGTGGGACCTGTCTCCATTGGCCCTGCTGCCTCTGAGTTCTCGTGCGCCCATGCAGACGCCGTGCAAGTGCGGGTGAGTGCTGCACAGCCACTGTGCTGCACACAGCATGTGCATGTGGCCACAACTGGCACCTGCACACACACATTCGTAGAGCCGCCCCTGTCCCTTCAATTCAGCCGCTGTTTTCCATCAATCCCGCCCCACCCCCCTTCGCTTCTCCCTTCTCTACCCTGCTCGCCCCCGCTGCCCGTGTGTGGGTGCAGCTGCACCCGGTGGCGTCGGTGGCGCAGGGGCGGGTGGTGGTGGGGGCGCAGGTGCAGCGCGCCACAGTGCTGGTGGCGCAGCAGCCCGACTGGACGTGGCTTGGCATTCCCGCAGACATGGACGCCCCCGGCTCTCCCTCCTCCTCTGCCCCACCCCTCTCCGCCCGAGCCTCCATGCAACGCCAGGCTCGGGACGCAGCCTCGGTGGCAGCAGCGGAGGAGAGGGACAGGCTGGCGCTGAGAGGGGCGCAAATTGAGTACCGAGGGGAGGGGGGCGCGCAGGGGGCGGAAATGCACGGGGGAAGGGGAGGGGAGGGCGAGGGGGGTGCAAAAGGGGAAGGGAGAGTAGTTGGGGGGGCGGCGGTAGGTGGGGGTAAGGCGAGGGTCGAGTGGGAGTGGGTGGAGGAGCAGCAGCGGGCGGCGGAGAGGGCAGTGAGCAACGTGCTGCGAGCAGCAGTGGTGGCGCTGGGGTGGCACGGGTACGACCAGCACCCCCTCTCCACCACTGCTCCAGCCCCCAGTGCCCCCCTCTCAACACCCTCTGCACTCCCCACGCCCCCTCTCTCTGCCCAGGAGCAGCTGCTCTCCCTGTCCGCATCGGCGGCCTTGGCCCACCTCTCCTCCCTGCCGCCCCACCTCATGCCCCCCCCCTGCCCTCCCCCTGCCCCTGCCCAAATGCCCGCACAGTACAGTGGGGGGAGTGGGAGCGAAGGGGGTGGGGGCCGGGGATCAAGCGGTGATGGCACGGTGGGAGGGGAGAGGATGGCACGTGAGAGTGGCAAGGGGCGGGAAGGTCACATGGCGGGCGGCGAGGGGCGGTCGGGGCACATGGAGAGTGGGGGTGTTAGTGTGGGAGCGAATGGTGATGGTCTTTCGAGGAGGGGAGGAGACGGTAGCATGAGCATGGAAGGGACAGTTGCAGCAGTTGGTGGGAGAGAGAGTGACGCAAGAGGGGTTGAAGCGAGAGGGAGTGAAGCTAGGATGAGTGAAGCAAGTGGCGTGGGTGGAGTGAAGGGGGGCGAGGGCGGCAGAGGTGCAGGCGAGGGGGAGGGCAGCGAGTCGGCGCTGAGAGATGCTCTGGCGCTCGCCATCCGCCAGCGCATGGCCGCCGACGTGGGAGGGCAGGTGGTAGAGCCAGTCGGGGAAGGGAAGGTGCGGGTAGGGCACACGAGGGGACAGGTTGGCGGGCAGGTGGGGGGCCAGGGCGAGAGCAAACGAGTGGGCGTGGAACAAGAGGGGGGGATGCGGGGGAGCAGCGGAACGAGAGAGGTGGTGGAGGCGGAAGGGGCGTGGGGTGGAGCAGCAAGGAGAGAGGAGGCTACAGACAGGGGGCTTGCCCCATTCACTGCTGGTGCTGCCACTGGCCATGCCACGGCCCTTCCTCTTGCTGCTGACCTTTCTTCCCCCGTGCAGCAGCAGCAGGCGCAGGCACAGCAGCACAGGGGCCAGGCGTCGTCACAAGTGAGCGTGGCAGACTCGCAGCAGTGGCAGCAGGAGCGGAGGCAGCAGCAGGCAGAGATGGCGGTACAGGTGGGGCGGGCACCTCAGAGTGCGGCTGAGGTAAGCCCCCCAATTTCTTCCATCCCTCACACCGCCCATCTCGTACTAAACCCAGTCCTTATCCTTCCCAATTTCCTCCCTCCCTCTTCCCCCCTCCTCCCTCCCCACAGCCCCTGCAGCCCCTGCCATCACCCGCACGCATGTCAAAGGGGGGATTGCCGGCGCCTGTGTGTGCGCGCGAGTGGGCACTGCGCAAGCTTCACCCAGCACACGGGCGAGGGGGGGCAGAGGTGGAGGGGGAGAGAGGGGATGGCAGCGAGGTGGGGGAGAAGGGCACGCATGGCAGTGCGGGCAGGGGTGCTGGTGAGGCTGGGGAGGGGGTTACAGCACCACAAACAGCAGCAATGGGGGGTGAGGAGGGGGCAGGTGGAGGGAGGCAGGGCGAGGAGGCAGCAGGGGGAGGTGGGGGGCGGTTGGTGCCGTGCATGGAGGGAGTGAGAGTGCATGGTGGCACCCTCATGCTCCTCGCTTATGGAGACCAGGAGCCACGGTGAGATGAGATGTGCTTGCTTCCATGTGCATGTGCCTGCTCTACATCCACCACATGCGTGCAATGCTTTCCTTTCCCGGTGCGCAACACACACATATATACTTGCATGTGTATTCACGGGCTAGCCTTCATGCTTGTGTGGCGTGTGCATGCATGCATGGCAGGGTGGTGGAGCACATCGACGCGCATGTGACCTTCCCCACGCTGCCCCACTCCTACAAGCGCATCAAGGTTGATGCCCACGGCTCCCTCCGCCCCTCCCGCAACTTCCCGCCTGCCCCCTCGAACACCATCCCTTCCCCCACCGCCACCGCCTCTTCTTCCTCCTCGTCGTCCCCCCAGCCCCCCGGCAGCAGCGGCAAGGGAAAGCGCTTCTCCACGCCTTTCCACATGATGCCTGGCGGGGCAGCGGCAGGGAGGAAGGAGGCGGAGGGGGGAGCAGAGGGGGGAGCAGGCGAGGGGGGAGGCGGGCTGCTGCGAGTGGCCGTGGATGTGGATGAGGAGAAGCACGAGTGGGCTGTCACTGTCACCGCACACAACCTCTTCGCACCTGTGCGTGCTCATATGCTTTGGTGCATGTGCTCACCTGCATCTGCTGTGCCCAGCAGCCAGTCATGTTCCAAGTGCCATGCTTCATGTGCCAGGCGTGTTATGCATGCCAGGCTCGCCATGCACGCATGTATCCAACAGGTGCATATGCTCCCTGTTCAATGCTTCCCATAGTCCTTGTGTAATTGCTGCTGTCACTTCCCTACATCTCATGTCTCTCGTGTCACAGTAATACACTTCCCCTTCCCCTTCCCCTTCCCCTTCCCCTTCCCCTTCCCCTTCCCCATCTGCACGCGTACGTACGCGGTAATGGGGGGAGGGCAGGTGATGGAGCGGTTGCTGGAGATCCCATTGGATTGGTACGGCGGGAGGGCCGACGGGCAGGTCAGTGCCTCTGCTCTCTCCACTGCTTCGCAGCATCTCAACCTTTTGGCATTCATCAACTTGCCTCCCTGCTCTATGCTGCTCACTGCTGGTCGCTGCTGCTCCCGTCTGCCCCCTGCTGCTTCGCTGCTCTTGCTGCTACAGACCTCGCCCTTCCGCAGCACACCCCAGCACCTTTCAATCACTTATCTCGCATGATGCACTGCCGACACCACCGTGCCCGTGAGCTCACTCCCTGTCATTCTGCCATTCGTGTCCACGTGTGCATGCATGCGTGCACCTGCGGTGTGTGTTTGGGAGGGCGGGGGTGGTGATGGAGAGGGAGCAGGTGCAGCTGTGGATGGGGGCGGGGGATTCATTCCCCAACTTCAAGGGCAGAGTGGATATCAAAGACCTCGCCTTCCAAATATGGGAGTCCCCCTGTGCGTTCACTGTAAGGCCGCCGTTCACACACACGCACACCATCCACACACTCACACCATCCACACACGCACACCATCCACACACGCACACCATCCACACACGCACACCATCCACACACGCACACCATCCACATACGCACACCATCCACATACGCACACCATCCACACACGCACACCATCCACACACGCACACCATCCACACACGCACACCATCCACATACGCACACCATCCACACACGCACACCATCCACACACGCACACCATCCACACACGCACACCATCCACACACGCACACCATCCACACACGCACACCATCCACACACTCACACCATCCACACACGCACACCATCCACACACGCACACCATCCACACACGCACACCATCCACACACGCACACCATCCACATACGCACACCATCCACACACTCACACCATCCACACACGCACACCATCCACACACGCACACCATCCACACACGCACACCATCCACACACGCACACCATCCACACACGCACACCATCCACACACGCACACCATCCACACACGCACACCATCCACACACGCACACCATCCACACACTCACACCATCCACACACGCACACCATCCACACACGCACACCATCCACACACGCACACCATCCACACACGCACACCATCCACATACGCACACCATCCACATACGCACACCATCCACACACTCACACCATCCACACACTCACACCATCCACACACGCACACCATCCACACACGCACACCATCCACACACGCACACCATCCACACACGCACACCATCCACACACGCACACCATCCACACACGCACACCATCCACACACGCACACCATCCACACACGCACACCATCCACACACGCACACCATCCACACACTCACACCATCCACACACGCACACCATCCACACACTCACACCATCCACACACGCACACCATCCACACACGCACACCATCCACACACGCACACCATCCACACACTCACACCATCCACACACGCACACCATCCACACACGCACACCATCCACACACGCACACCATCCACACACGCACACCATCCACACACGCACACCATCCACACACGCACACCATCCACACACGCACACCATCCACACACGCACACCATCCACACACGCACACCATCCACACACGCACACCATCCACACACGCACACCATCCACACACGCACACCATCCACACACGCACACCATCCACATACGCACACCATCCACATACGCACACCATCCACACACTCACACCATCCACACACTCACACCATCCACACACGCACACCATCCACACACGCACACCATCCACACACGCACACCATCCACACACGCACACCATCCACACACGCACACCATCCACACACGCACACCATCCACACACGCACACCATCCACACACGCACACCATCCACACACGCACACCATCCACACACTCACACCATCCACAGACGCACACCATCCACACACTCACACCATCCACACACGCACACCATCCACACACGCACACCATCCACACACGCACACCATCCACACACTCACACCATCCACACACGCACACCATCCACACACGCACACCATCCACACACGCACACCATCCACACACGCACACCATCCACACACTCACACCATCCACACACGCACACCATCCACACACGCACACCATCCACACACGCTCACCATCCACACACGCACACCATCCACACACTCACACCATCCACACACGCACACCATCCACACACGCACACCATCCACACACGCACACCATCCACACACTCACACCATCCACACACGCACACCATCCACACACGCACACCATCCACACACGCACACCATCCACACACGCACACCATCCACACACTCACACCATCCACACACGCACACCATCCACACACGCACACCATCCACACACGCACACCATCCACACACGCACACCATCCACACACGCACACCATCCACACACGCACACCATCAACACACGCACACCATCCACACACTCACACCATCCACACACGCACACCATCCACACACGCACACCATCCACACACGCACACCATCCACACACTCACACCATTCACACACGCACACCATCCACACACGCACACCATCCACACACGCACACCATCCACACACGCACACCATCCACACACGCACACCATCCACACACGCACACCATCCACACACGCACACCATCCACACACGCACACCATCCACACACTCACACCATCCACACACGCACACCATCCACACACGCACACCATCCACACACGCACACCATCCACACACGCACACCATCCACACACGCACACCATCCACACACGCACACCATCCACACACGCACACCATCCACATACGCACACCATCCACACACGCACACCATCCACACACTCACACCATCCACACACGCACACCATCCACACACGCACACCATCCACACACGCACACCATCCACACACGCACACCATCCACACACGCACACCATCCACACACGCACACCATCCACACACGCACACCATCCACACACGCACACCATCCACACACTCACACCATCCACACACTCACACCATCCACACACGCACACCATCCACACACGCACACCATCCACACACGCACACCATCCACACACTCACACCATCCACACACGCACAACATCCACACACGCACACCATCCACACACGCACACCATCCACACACTCACACCATCCACACACGCACACCATCCACACACGCACACCATCCACACACGCACACCATCCACACACGCACACCATCCACACACTCACACCATCCACACACGCACACCATCCACACACGCACACCATCCACACACTCACACCATCCACACACGCACACCATCCACACACGCACACCATCCACACACGCACACCATCCACACACGCACACCATCCACACACGCACACCATCCACACACGCACACCATCCACACACTCACACCATCCACACACGCACACCATCCACACACGCACACCATCCACACACGCACACCATCCACACACGCACACCATCCACACACGCACACCATCCACACACGCACACCATCCACACACGCACACCATCCACACACGCACACCATCCACACACGCACACCATCCACACACGCACACCATCCACACACGCACACCATCCACACACGCACACCATCCACACACGCACACCATCCACACACGCACACCATCCACATACGCACACCATCCACATACGCACACCATCCACACACTCACACCATCCACACACTCACACCATCCACACACGCACACCATCCACACACGCACACCATCCACACACGCACACCATCCACACACGCACACCATCCACACACGCACACCATCCACACACGCACACCATCCACACACGCACACCATCCACACACGCACACCATCCACACACGCACACCATCCACACACTCACACCATCCACACACGCACACCATCCACACACTCACACCATCCACACACGCACACCATCCACACACGCACACCATCCACACACGCACACCATCCACACACTCACACCATCCACACACGCACACCATCCACACACGCACACCATCCACACACGCACACCATCCACACACGCACACCATCCACACACTCACACCATCCACACACGCACACCATCCACACACGCACACCATCCACACACGCTCACCATCCACACACGCACACCATCCACACACTCACACCATCCACACACGCACACCATCCACACACGCACACCATCCACACACGCACACCATCCACACACTCACACCATCCACACACGCACACCATCCACACACGCACACCATCCACACACGCACACCATCCACACACGCACACCATCCACACACTCACACCATCCACACACGCACACCATCCACACACGCACACCATCCACACACGCACACCATCCACACACGCACACCATCCACACACGCACACCATCCACACACGCACACCATCAACACACGCACACCATCCACACACTCACACCATCCACACACGCACACCATCCACACACGCACACCATCCACACACGCACACCATCCACACACTCACACCATCCACACACGCACACCATCCACACACGCACACCATCCACACACGCACACCATCCACACACGCACACCATCCACACACGCACACCATCCACACACGCACACCATCCACACACGCACACCATCCACACACGCACACCATCCACACACTCACACCATCCACACACGCACACCATCCACACACACACACCATCCACACACGCACACCATCCACACACGCACACCATCCACACACGCACACCATCCACACACGCACACCATCCACACACGCACACCATCCACACACGCACACCATCCACATACGCACACCATCCACACACGCACACCATCCACACACTCACACCATCCACACACGCACACCATCCACACACGCACACCATCCACACACGCACACCATCCACACACGCACACCATCCACACACGCACACCATCCACACACGCACACCATCCACACACGCACACCATCCACACACGCACACCATCCACACACTCACACCATCCACACACTCACACCATCCACACACGCACACCATCCACACACGCACACCATCCACACACGCACACCATCCACACACTCACACCATCCACACACGCACAACATCCACACACGCACACCATCCACACACGCACACCATCCACACACTCACACCATCCACACACGCACACCATCCACACACGCACACCATCCACACACGCACACCATCCACACACGCACACCATCCACACACTCACACCATCCACACACGCACACCATCCACACACGCACACCATCCACACACGCACACCATCCACACACGCACACCATCCACACACTCACACCATCCACACACGCACACCATCCACACACGCACACCATCCACACACGCACACCATCCACACACTCACACCATCCACACACGCACACCATCCACACACGCACACCATCCACACACGCACACCATCCACACACGCACACCATCCACACACTCACACCATCCACACACGCACACCATCCACACACGCACACCATCCTCACACGCACACCATCCACACACGCACACCATCCACACACGCACACCATCCACACACTCACACCATCCACACACGCACACCATCCACACACGCACACCATCCACACACGCACACCATCCACACACGCACACCATCCACATACGCACACCATCCACACACTCACACCATCCACACACTCACACCATCCACACACGCACACCATCCACACACGCACACCATCCACACACGCACACCATCCACACACGCACACCATCCACACACGCACACCATCCACACACGCACACCATCCACACACGCACACCATCCACACACGCACACCATCCACACACTCACACCATCCACACACTCACACCATCCACACACGCACACCATCCACACACGCACACCATCCACACACGCACACCATCCACACACTCACACCATCCACACACGCACACCATCCACACACGCACACCATCCACATACGCACACCATCCACACACTCACACCATCCACACACGCACACCATCCACACACGCACACCATCCACACACGCACACCATCCACACACGCACACCATCCACACACGCACACCATCCACACACGCACACCATCCACACACGCACACCATCCACATACGCACACCATCCACACACTCACACCATCCACACACGCACACCATCCACACACGCACACCATCCACACACGCACACCATCCACACACGCACACCATCCACACACGCACACCATCCACACACGCACACCATCCACACACGCACACCATCCACACACTCACACCATCCACACACGCACACCATCCACACACGCACACCATCCACACACGCACACCATCCACACACGCACACCATCCACACACTCACACCATCCACACACGCACACCATCCACACGCGCACACCATCCACACACGCACACCATCCACACACTCACACCATCCACACACGCACACCATCCACACACGCACACCATCCACACACGCACACCATCCACACACGCACACCATCCACACACTCACACCATCCACACACGCACACCATCCACACACGCACACCATCCACACACGCACACCATCCACACACTCACACCATCCACACACGCACACCATCCACACACGCACACCATCCACACACGCACACCATCCACACACGCACACCATCCACACACTCACACCATCCACACACGCACACCATCCACACACGCACACCATCCACACACGCACACCATCCACACACGCACACCATCCACACACTCACACCATCCACACACGCACACCATCCACACACGCACACCATCCACACACGCACACCATCCACACACTCACACCATCCACACACGCACACCATCCACACACGCACACCATCCACACACACACACCATCCACACACGCACACCATCCACACACGCACACCATCCACACACTTGACCGCACTTCTTCGCATGATTGTTTCCCACGTCCTCTCTCTGCCATGTCGTCCCCTCTCCGCCTGTGCGTCGCCGTGCTTCCCCGGGCGAGCAGGGAGTGAGCGGGGCGGTGGTGCTGGAGGGGCAGCGGCTGTTCCTGCACGGGGTGGAGGGGCGGTACGGGCACGTGCCACTGAGGGCGTCGGGGGACATGGACCTCAACCAGGCCGCCGGGGGGCAGTACCGCATCACAGCGCAGGTTCAACCAGTGGAGGCGAATCTGCTCATGAAGACGCTCAACGCCAAGCCCCTGCCATACCCTGTATGTGATGCATGCGTGTGTGCGCGTGCACCGTGTTCAATGATAATTATACATTCTTTTTCTCAAATACTTCGTTTAACAACTGCAAGAAGCATGCAGTGCATCTGTTCTATTTCTCACACTAGCACCAACCCTCTCTCTCCAATCACCTTCTGCCAGATGGCAGGGAGCCTGCAAGGACTGCTCTTCTGCCGCGGGCCTCTCGATGCGCCGATCTTTGAAGGCACTGCTGAGCTGGCAGCAGAGCCTGCTGACGTGGATGCAGCCGTTGCTGCGGTGGTGGGGTCGGATGCAGCGGGGGCGGTGGAGGCGTGGCGGGGGAAGGGGGCGGTGGGGGCGTATGACCGCGTGCCTGTCACGGCGGCCACGGCCAACTTCACGTTCAACACCGATGACTGTGTCAGTGATGTGATGCCAGGGGCATGGGTGCATTGCGCATGCTGCATGTGATGCATGGATGGGAGTTGAGTCATAAGGGAGACCATGGTGGCAAGCAACACCCTTTCATTCATTATGACTACCATGTGCGCATCCCATCTTTCCACCCTTCCCCTTCCCCCTCCCCCTTTCCCTTCCCCTGCCCCTCCTTCCCCCTTCTTCCCCCCCAACGCTAGGTAGCGGAGCTGCATGGGGTGCGGGCGGTGCCGGTGGGAGGGGGGGAGATCCGAGGGGCGGGGACGCTGTGGGTGTGCCCTCAGGTGAGTGGGGTGTGTTCGCAGGTGCGTGCGAATGTGGGTGGTTAACTGTCTTGCCTGCATCCTGTCTTGCCGTCAGGACCAAGCACTGTCCACCCACACCTGCTTGCCCGTTCGCACCCCTCCCTCCCATTTCTCCCTTTGCTTATCCCCCCATGGTTTGCGCCAGGCAGAGGCGGATCCATCGGCAGTGAGTGTGGACTGCTGGGCGGCGGGGGTGTCATTGGACCGCCTGCTCACCTTCTACCTGCCGCCCGCCACCGCTGCTCCCCCCTCGCTGCTCGGCCTCGCCTCAGGCGAAGCCGCCTTCAGAGGCTCCCTGCTCTCCCCGTATGCCTCCCTCTACCTCCCTCTGCCCTACTTTGCCGTAATCTCTCTTGGGCCGGTATGTGGTTTCGCAACCGCCTGCTCTTTCGCTCGTTTTCTTCTCTTTGTTTTCCCACTGTCAATGCACACCCGTTCTCGTCCGTCTCCCTTGGTCTAACCCATTCTCTTTTTTCCATCAACCCCCCAACACCACCACAGCACGGTGGAGGCGGCATGGAAGGCACCGCAGGCGAGGGGCCCGTTGGAGGGGATGCGGGGGTCGGTGGCGCTCACGAGGGACACAGCCCACGCCGCCACCCACGCGCATGCGCTCGACCTCCTCCTCTCCGCCTCCGTCTCCGCCCCTCCCCCGTGCCCCACCCCCCCGCGCCCTCCCCGCGGTGCCGCTCGCCCGTGGCCGGTGCTGTCGAGGGAGCTGCCCCCGTTGCCCCCGCGCCCGCGTGTGGAGCGCGTGGAGGCCGAGGCGCGCCTGAGGGCCTTCGACGCCCTCGCGCTGCTGCCCGCCGCCCCCGTGCCGGTGCCGCCCCCGCAGCCGTCCCTGCGGCACCTGCGGCTGTCGGGGCGCTTCAAGCTCTCTGCACGCGTGCCGTGGGGCAGTGAGGTGCAGCCAGGGGCGGTGGACGAGGCTGGGGGGGGTGGAGGCGCGAGGCAGGAGGCAGAGGCGGGGCTGCCAGGGCTGGAGGGGAGTGTGCTCATTCAGGGGCTGAAGCTGAACCAGCTGCTGCTGGGGGCCAACCTGTCAGGCGGCGTGGCTGTGAGCCCCCACGGCTTCAATCTGCACACCGTGGGCCGCGGCGATGAGCAGCTCATGCTGCAGCTCTCAGCCAATGGCGTGCTGCCACCTGTCCCTACCATCCCGCATGCCTCGTCGTCCTACATGCCACAGGTGCAGGCCTCCGAGGCGGCCTTCCCGCTCTTCGATGTCGGAGCAGCGGCACCAGCAGCAGGCAGTGTGGGCGGCGGTTTAGGGGGCGTAGCGGGAGGGGCGGTGCGGGTGCAGCGGGGGCAGATGAGTGTGGAGGGGCATGTGCGCGTGGGGGCGACAGCAGCACTGGAGGTGAGGGCGCTGCCGCTGGACGAGTTGGAGCTGGCGTCGCTGCGCGGGCTGGTGGAGCGTGCTGCTGTGCGCCTCAACTTTGCCAGGCGCCGCGGCCACGGCTCCCTCGCAGTGCGGCGCCCGCGCTTCAGCGGCATGCTCTGTGACGCCCTGCATGCTGCCTTCCGCTGGACTGGCGACGTGGTGAGGAAGGCGGGGGGTGGGAAGAGTGCTGTGCTGTGCTGTCCTGTGCGCGTGCTGCATGACCTGTGCATCTGACTCATTGTGAATCTGTGTGAATCTGTGTGCGTGTGTGATGGCAGGTGACTCTGGAGCGGTCGGTGTTGGAGCAGGCAAACAGCCGGTACGAGGTGCAGGGGGAGTACGTGCTGCCGGGGATGAGGGAGTGGGACAGGGAGCGCGACAGGGACAGAACCACCTCCTCCCACTCAGCCTCCACGCCCACCCCCGACGCTGCTGCCACTGCGGCTGCCGCGGCCTCGGAGCGTGGCGTGGACGCGGAGTGGGGTGCAGGCGGGCGGCAGAGGGCGATGCCGGGGCAGCTGCAGGCGATGATGACGTCCATCGGTCGCTGGCGCTTGCGCCTCGACGTGCCCCATGCTGACGTCAGCGAGATGCTGCCGGGGTTGCGCATTTTGTCGCGCAGCCACGACCCGGCGGTGCTGCTGCGCTCCAAGGAGCTCTTCCTGCACGGCATCGAGGAGGTTGGCTTCGCCTCCCACTCCCTGCAGCACCAGCTCGAGGTGTGTCCTCTTCCCGCCACCCTCCCCCCCACACTCAACCGGCTAGCGCCTGTCTGCTTCGGAGCAGAGATGATTTTTGCTTGTCATGTCGCTGTGCATTCTTCTCGCTCCACTCCTTGCCCTTCACCCACTGCCACCTATCCGTTAATCTTTACTTTGTTCCCTCCCGCGCTGCGGCCCTGTTGGTGGGAGCAGTATGTGCGGGAGAAGAGGGAGCGCGAGTGGGAGCCAGCGGGCACGGACGTGGGTGGGGGGGTGGCAGCAGAGGCGCTGCCAGGGCTGGTGGACCTGAGGGGGCGCTGGCACGGGGTGCTGGAGGCGAGTGGGGGCGGCAACGGCGACACGTCAGCATCGTTTGACGTGCACGGCAGCGACTGGGAGGCGGGCAGGTACCGGCTGCAGCAGCTGCAGGCGCGGGGGCGGTACAGCAACACGGGGGGGCTGCAGGTGGAGCGGCTGCTGCTGCAGAAGGACGACGGTGCCACGGTGCATGCGGACGGCACTGTCTTTGGCCCCGCGCCCAGCCTGCACTTTGCGCTGCTCAACTTCCCCGCCCACCTCGTCCCCACCTTCCTGCAAGCCCTCCACGCCGCTGCGCCCTCCCAGTCCTCCGCTGCTGCTGCTGCCTCTGGTGCGCCGTTCCCCCCCCCGCCCCCCGTGGGCGTGCAGCAGGCGGCAGTGAGGGGCGTGGTGCATGTGGAGGGCGACCTGTCTGGCTCCTTCGCCCAGCCGCAGTGCGACGTGCAGGTGGGTGCATGCACTCCAATGCTGCGCCTACCAGTACTCCATTGCTCACTCTGCATGTTCTTCGTCCGTCTTTCTGAGTGGTCTGTGCTCGTCTCACCCCCCTGCTGCCTCTCCCCCCCCCCCACGCGCCCCCCTGTGATGGCAGCTGCGGCTGCTGGACGGGGAGATAGCGGGCGTGGCGCTGGGCAGGGCGGAGGTGGCGGCGTCGCTGACGAGGGCGTCACGGCTGCTGTTCCACGCGGTGCTGGAGCCGGCAGTGGAGGCGGGCCAGGTGCGCATCAAGGGCAACGTGCCGCTGCCGCCGCTGCAGGGGGGGCATGCAGGGCAGGCGGCGCAGGCAGGGCAGGAGGTGCAGGCAGGGCTGGAGGTGCAGGGCGCAGGCAGAGACATGGGTGGTGGGGGGAGGATGGCAGCTTCTGGTGGAGGCAGAGTGCAGGAGAAGCGGAGGGGCAAGGCAGGCGAGAAGAAGCAGAAGGCGGGTGTGGAGGCGACACAGACGAAGGAAGGCGGCGGTGCAGCGCGGGAGAGCAGCCGGCTGTGGCACGACTGGGACTGGCTGGACAAGGAGGGAGGGCTGTGGAGCGACGGCACGGGGAGTGGCGATGGTGGCGATGCTGAGGAGAAGGTCGAGGAGGAGGAAGAGCAGGAGGAAGAGAAGGAGGAGGAGGGGGAAGGGGAGGGAGAAGGTGCGCAGAAGGGGTCGGAGCTGCTGCGCAGTCTGGTGGAGCTGGAGCGGGCGTTTGAGGGCGAGGAGCAGGCGGAGCAGATGCAGGTGGAGGCCAGTGTGCAGGACGCCGGCATGATGCTGCTCACTGCCCTCTCACCCTCCTTCCGCTGGATCCATGGCCACGCCGCCATCTCTGCTCAGGTGGGCCAGTCTTATGGTGACTTCAGCATTCTTGCTTTGACTTGTCATTACTCTGCACCCACACGTCTCTCCCCATGCCTCTCTTTCCCGCGCCTCTCTCCCACGGCGCTGTGCGGGCGGCAGGTGAGTGGCACGCTGGCGCGGCCAGAGGTGGCGGCGGAGGCGGTGTTCAGCCGTGTGACGGCGTCGTCCCCCGTGCTGCCGCGCCCGCTCACGGGCGGGGGGGGGCGCATCCGCATTGCAGCGCAGCAGCTGCTGGTGGACGGGCTGGAGGGGCGCGTGGGGCGCCGCGGCACTCTGCGCGTCGAGGGCTCTCTGCCTCTCGGCCTTCCCGCACACGAGGGGGGGGGTGAGGGGGCGGAAGGGGAAGGGGAGGAGGTGCTTGGTGGGTTGAGGAGAGGAAGCAAGGGGAAGAGGGGGAGTGGGAGGGAAGAGGGTGAGCATGCACAGGACAGCAAGGGTGGAGAGGGGATCAGCATCACGGCGGAGGGTCTTGAAGTGCGAGCACGCAATGTGTTCAGGTGGGGCCTCACCTGTTTTTTCAATGGATTTTTGCTGGACTGTTCTTGTGACAACGTTTGCAGGGTGGGGTTTGAACCAGTGCCTGTCAGCACCGGATCTCCCACCTGTCTGACGGTGCCCCATTGTGTTGTGTGTGCGTGTGGTTGCAGTGGTCTGGTGGATGCGGGCGTAAGTGTGATGGGCAGCCTGGCCGCCCCTGAGGTGACAGGCTCCATCCGGCTGTCACGTGGCATCGCGTACCTGTCGCAGGAGAAGGACCGGGCCGACACCCCCCCCTCCCCCTCCGTGCCCTCCTCGCTGCTGCCCTCCCACCGCCGCAAGACACCTGCACTCTCTGCTGCTCCCTCCACTGCCCCTCCTGCCAAGTCAGCAGCACCTGATTGGCTGCCGGCTATGTCCTCCACGGCCTCGTCTTCAGCCATGAAGCTCCCGGCGTCAGCTCCACAGCAGGGTGCGCCCTTCCCACTCCATCCACTTCCGTCAACCCCTGCACCAAGTTTTACCGACTGGGTCTGTGTGTGGCTCCCGGTCCTCTTTTGGCCCACACGCCTCAGCTCACTTCACCCTCCCGGCTCACTTTCTTTGCGCCTTGTTTGCTCTTTCGCATCGATAACTTCCCCCTGTCATGTGAGCCCTCTTCCTCCTCCTCCCCATACACATTGTTCTTCTTCACATCCCTTCCTCACATGGCCATCAGAGAGCACATCATCGCCGCTATCTGCCACCGCTGCCACCGCCGCCTCTGCTGCCACTACAGCAGTGCCGCCTGTGCCGCTGCCAGCCCCCCCTGACCTTGCGTCTGCGCCATCGGCACCGGCAGCGCTGGTGCGGCTGCGGGGGCTGCAGGTGGCACTGGGGCCGGAGCTGCGCGTGGTGTACCCGCTCATCCTCAACCTCGCCACGCGTGGCGACCTGCACCTCAATGGCTTCGCCGACCCGCGCCTCGTGCGCCCCTCCGGCACTCTCTTCTTCGAGAACGGCGAAGTCAACCTCGTTGCCACCCAGGTCCCACCCCCCTCTCCTGCCACCCAGGTCCCACCCCCCTCTCCTGCCACCCAGGTCCCACCCCCCTCTCCTGCCACCCAGGTCCCATTCCCCTCTCCTGCCACCCAGGTCCCACCCCCCTCTCCTGCCACCCAGGTCCCACCCCCCTCTCCTGCCACCCAGGTCCCACCCCCCTCTCCTGCCACCCAGGTCCCACCCCCCTCTCCTGCCACCCAGGTCCCACCCCCCTCTCCTGCCACCCATGTCCCACTCCACTCCCTCCTCCTGCCACCCAGGTCCTGCCTCCTCGCCATCCTCCATTCTCGTGCCCCTTTGCCATCCTCCCTTCTCATGCCTCACCATGCTCCCTTGTCACACCCCCTCCCCATGCTCCCTCTGCTCTGCGGTCACCATGTCCCAGCTTTGGCTACATGTTGCAGCTTGATTGTTCTCTGCTCTGTCCATTGCTGCTCCCGCTTAAGCTCCACCGGCCCTGCCCACACCCCCGTGCCGCGTGTGCCGTGTGCAGCTGCGGCTGAACCGCGACCACCCCAACTGTGCGCGCTTTGAGGCGGCGCTGGGCATGGATCCGCTGCTGGACCTGAAGCTGGTGGGGGCGGACTGGCAGATGCGCGTCCAGGGCCCGGCCAACCGCTGGCAGGACCACGTGGTGCTCACCACGCTGCCGCGCGGCGGCGAGGAGGACGTGCTGTCGCCCGCGGAGGCGGCGCGGCTGTTTGAGAGCCAGCTGGCGGAGTCGCTGCTGGAGAAGGACGGGCAGCTGGCGCTCAAGAAGCTGGCGGCCGCCACCGTGGAGACCCTCATGCCCAAGATCGAGAGCCGCGGGCAGTTCGGGCAGGCGCGGTGGCGCCTGGTGAGCGCGCCGCAGATCCCGAACCTGCTCTCGCTGGACCCCACCTCCGACCCCTTCCAGTCCCTCGCCAACCTCTCCTTCGGCGCCGAGGTGGAAATCCAAATCGGCAACAACCTTCAGGTGCTCAACGGGCGGGCTGGGATACATGGATCTTACATGCATGTGAAATGCATCGTTCTGGCATAGTGACATGCATCGTTGTTGTGACATGCATCAATGTGACACGCATCATTGGGACAAGCATCAAAGGGACCTGCATCATTGTGCCATTGTGAAATGCATCACTGTGACATGCATCACTGCGGCACACATCATAGTGACATGCATCGTTGCTACACACATCACAGTGACATGCGTCATCAAGTCAACATTTTTGTGACATAGTGTGACATGCACCATCGGGACATATCCCACCTTCAGATGCATCGTTCTGACATGCATCATGAACATATGCACCATTGAAGACATGCATCATACCAACGCTCACTACCTGTGTCATGTGTTATGTATCGCTCATACATAAACATGCACCCTGCCATGCTAAGCACTTTTTGCCTGCAGGCACACCATGGCATAGATTGCCACTGCACCTAATCAGATACACACCATGGGCATGTGTGCATATGAGCGAGCCTTTGCCTCAAACATGACCTTTTCTGTGGTTTCCCCAGGCATCTGTGGTGCGGCAGCTACGCGAGAGTGAGATGGCGACCCAGTGGAAACTGCTATACCAACTCAACTCCCGCTTGCGCCTTCTCTTCTCATCCTTGTCCTCCGTTGAGAAACGACTTTTGTTTGAATACTCTGCATCCTCACAGAATTGACTGTACCTAGCTGGCAGCTGGGTCAAGAGCAGGGTACACAGTGGTCTTGACCTTTTGCATTCCATTATCCCCAAAAAATAAGGGTAAAATACCCAGTTTACCCCTTTTTGGCCCCTTGTTGAGGCTTGCTCTGATCCATACTGTAAAAGCTTTGCCACCCTGATTGAAAAAGTGCACCTTTTGTTTGCCCTTTGTAAATCAGCAGTGTTAGAGACCTTTTACCCTGCTGAAAAGCTGAGCCATTTCGAGGTGATATTGGTCGGACTATTTAACATAATCAACAGAAGACAGTGTACCAAACTTGCCACCAACAGCCTACAAGTTTTCTTACACTACATTTTTCAAGATAACTACTATTTTACCCAACCAGTCAGGGTAGGCCTGACTGGCACCCCGGGGCGCGAAGTGGCACCCTCCCCTGCACACACAACCCTCGCCCGCACGTACCAACTTCCTCCGCACGCTGCTCGGAAGTGCTGGAACGAGCGCTTCCGCCCCCAAAACGCGGAAGGATCAGCACATGCGCAGGAAGTGCAGCGAGCGCTCTTCATTCGAAAGCTCCGACCGATGATGCTCCCAACCCTCCCACGCCCTTGTTGGCTTGGTAATAGGCCCAGACAAGCGCAGCCACGTGACCTGTTGGAAGAAAAACGCTCGTAACGAGCGCTTTCAGCTTCAAAATGCGGAAGGATCCGCACATGTGCAGGAAGTGAAGCGGGCGCTCTTCATTTGCGAGCGCCGATGACCGATGATGCTCGCAACCCTCCCACGCCCTTGCTAGCTTGGTAAAAGGCCCAGACAAGCGCAGCCACGTGACCCGGCGAAAGAAAAACGCTCGGAACTAGCGCTTCCACCCCCAAAACGCGGAAGGATCCGCACATGTGCAGGAAGTGCAGCGGGCGCTCTTCATTCGCGAGCGCCGATGACCGTTGTTGCTTGCAACCCTCCCATGCCCTTGCTGGCTTGGTAATAGGCACAGACAAGCGCAGCCAAGTAATCCGGCGGAAGAAGAACGCTCGGAACGAGCGCTTCCACCCCCAAAACGCGAAAGGATCCGCACATGTGCAGGAAGTATAGCTTGCGCTCTTCATTCGCAAGCGCCAATGACCGATGATGCTCGCAACCCTCCCGCCCTTGCTAGCTTGGTAATAGGCCCAGACAAGCGCAGCCACGTGACCCGGCGAAAGAAAAACGCTCGGAACGAGCGCTTCCACCCCCAAAACGCGGAAGGGTCCGCACATGTGCAGGAAGCGCAGCGGGCGCTCTTCATTCGCGAGCGCCGATGACCGATGATGCTCGCAACCCTCCCACGCCCTTGCTGGCTTGGTAATAGGCCCAGAAAAGCGCAGCCACGAGACCCGGCGGAACAAAAACGCTCGGAACGAGCGCTTCTACCCCAAAAACGCGGAAGGATCCGCACATGTGCAGGAAGTGCAACGGGCGCTCTTCATTCGCGAGCGCCGATGACCGATGATGCTCGCAACCCTCCAATGCCCTTGTTAGCTTGGTAATAGGCCCAGAAAAACGCAGAAGTGTGACCCGGCGGAAGAAAAACGCTCGGAACGAGCGCTTCCAGCCCCAAAATGCGGAAGGATCCGCACATGTGCAGGAAGTGCAGCGGGTGCTCTTCATTCGCGAGCGCTGATGACCGATGATGCTCGCAACCCTCCCACGCCCTTGCTGGCTTGGCAATAGGACCAGAAAAACGCAGCCACGTGACCTGGCAGAAGAAAAACGCTCAGAACTAGCGCTTCCACCCCCAAAACGCGGAAGGATCCGCACATGTGCAGGAAGTGCAGCGCGCACTCTTCATTCGTGAGCGCCGATGGCTGATGATGCTCGCAACCCTCCCACGCCCTTGCTGGCTTGGTAATAGGCCCAGACAAGCGAAGCCACGTGACGCGGCGGAAGAAAAATGCTCGGAACGAGCACTTCCAGCCCCAAAATGCGGAAGGATCCGCACATGTGCAGGAAGTGCAGCACGCGCTCTTCATTCGCGAGCGCTGATGACCGATGATGCTTGCAACCCTCCCACGCCCTTGTTGGCTTGGTAATAGGTCCAGACAAACGCAGCCACGTGACCTGGCGGAAGAAAAACGCTCAGAACTAGCGCTTACACCCCCAAAACGCTGAAGGATCCGCACATGTGCAGGAAGTGCAGCGGGCGCTCTTCATTCGCGAGCGCCGATGACCGATGATGCTCGCAACCCTCCCACGCCCTTGCTGGCTTGGTAATAGGCCCAGACAAGCGCAGCCACGTGACCCGGCGGAAGAAAAACGCTCGGAACGAGCGCTTACACCCCCAAAACGCGGAAGGATCCGCACATGTGCAGGAATTGCAGCGGGCGCTCTTCATTTGCGAGCGCCGATGACCCATGATGCTCGCAACCCTCCCACGCCCTTGCTGGCTTGGTAATAGGCCCAGACAAGCGCAGACACGTGACCTGGCGGAAGAAAAACGCTCGGAACGAGCACTTCCAGCCCCAAAACGCGGAAGGATCCGCACTTGTGCAGGAAGTGCAGCGGGCGCTCTTCATTCGCGAGCGCCGATGACCGATGATGCTCGCAACCCTCCCACGCCCTTGCTGGCTTGGAAAAAGGCCCAGACAAGCGCAGCCACGTGACCCGGCGGAAGAAAAATGCTCGGAACGAACGCTTCCAGCCTCAAAACGCGGAAGGATCCGCACATGTGCACGAAGTGCAGCGGGCGCTCTTCATTCGCGAGCGCCGATGACCGACGATGCTCGCAACCCTCCCACGCCCTTGCTGGCTTGGTAAAAGGCCCAGAAAAGCGCAGCCACGTGACCCGGCGGAAGAAAAACGCTCGGAACGAGCGCTTTCAGCCCGAAAACGCGGAAGGATCCGCACATGTGCACGAATTGCAAAGGGCGGGCTTCATTCGCGAGCGCCGATGACCGATGATGCTCGCAACCCTCCCACGCCCTTGCAGGCTTGGTAATAGAACCAGACAAGCGCAGCCACGTGACCCGGCGGAAGAAAAACGCTCGGAACGAGCGCTTCAACCCCCAAAACGCGGAAGGATCCGCACATGTGCAGGAAGTGCAGCGGGCGCTCTTCATTCGCGAGCGCCGATGGCTGATGATGCTCGCAACCCTCCCACGCCCTTGCTGGCTTGGCAATAGGCCCAGAAAAACGCAGCCACGTGACCTGGCAGAAGAAAAACGCTCAGAACTAGCGCTTACACCCCCAAAACGCTGAAGGATCCGCACATGTGCAGGAATTGCAGCGGGCGCTCTTCATTCGCGAGCGCCGATGACCGATGATGCTCGCAACCCTCCCTGACCCTTGCTGGCTTGGTAATAGGCCCAGACAAGCGCAGCCACGTGACCCGGCGGAAGAAAAACGCTCGGAACGAGCGCTTCCACCCCCAAAACGCGGAAGGATCCGCACATGTGCAGAAAGTGCAGTGCGCGCTCTTCATTCGCGAGAGCCGATAACCGATGATGCTCGCAACCCTCCCACGCACTTGCTGGCTTGGTAAAAGGCCCAAACAAGCGCAGCCACGTGACCCTGCGGAAGAAAAACGCTCGGAACGAGCGCTTCCACCCCCAAAACGCGGAAGGATCCACACATGTGTAGGAAGTGAAGCGGGTGCTCTTCATTCGTGAGCGCCGATGGATGATGATGCTCGTAACCCTCCCACGCCCTTGCTGGCTTGGCAATAGGCCCAGACAAGCGAAGCCACGTGACGCGGCGGAAGAAAAATTCTCGGAACGAGCACTTCCAGCCCCAAAATGCGGAAGGATCCGCACATGTGCAGGAATTGCAGCGGGCGCTCTTCATTCGCGAGCGCCGATGACCGATGATGCTCGCTACCCTCCCACGCCCTTGCTGGCTTGGTAATAGGCCCAGACAAGCGCAGCCACGTGACCCGGCGGAAGAAAAACGCTCGGAAAGAGCACTACCAGCCCCAAAACGCGGAAGGATCCGCACATGTGCAGGAAGTGCAGCGCGCGCTCTTCATTCGCGAGCGCTGATGACCGATGATGCTCGCAACCCTCCCACGCCCTTGCTGGCTTGGTAATAGGCCTAGACAAACGCAGCCACGTGACCTGGCGGAAGAAAAACGCTCAGAAGCGCTTCCACCCCCAAAACGCTGGAGGATCCGCACATGTGCAGGAAGTGCAGCGGGCGCTCTTCATTCGCGAGCGCCGATGACCGATGATGCTTGCAACCCTCCCACGCACTTGCTGGCTTGGTAATAGGCCCAGACAAGCGCAGCCACGTGACCCGGCGGAAGAAAAACGCTCGGAACAAGCGCTTCCATCCCCAAAA